TCCAAGGTCCTCTCCTTTTGTTAGTAAGTCAGGATTGTCTAGGGCAGCTGCTAATGTTGCCTGTCGTCCCATGAGTGGAGAATCCCTTCCCAATCTCCAGTTCTAGTTAAGTGTGCAAGCCAGTGTTTTATAGTCTTATGCATTGTAGAGCCATCTACCTCTTTAAGAGGTTTGAGCCAGTGTGGTTTCTTAATTAAAATCTAAGCAAAAGTTGCCATTAATCTCAGTCAAGTTGAGAAATGTTGTAGCGCGCTTGTGTACGCTGTGCTAGATTTTGCCGTTACAGAGCAGCCTTCCGTCTCCAGCATGGTTAACAGTGGATTGTCTCTTCTGGCTTCCTAATAAAACACAGTAAACGCTTCTTGGAAAGAAATCTGAAGGAGAAGAAAAATAATATTGCAAGTGCCCAGCAGATTTCCTGTTGTTTTTTTCCTTTTTTTCCCCCCACTAATCTACAGTGACATTTTCAAGCAGATCACAGCAAGGTTTTAGAGTTCAAGAAAAAAAATAAAAAGGTGGTTTTCTGTCCTCCGTTTCTTCAAGCCTGCAAATCTTGTGAAAATGTCAGCTTTAACGGTTTCATTAGGCATCCTTCAAATGCCAGAATGGGTAGTTTCCTTTCAAATTTAATTTCTTTTTCATATTTTCATATTGGTGTGGCGTATTGGGGGCTCCACTATAGTAGGGGCTTCATTTTGGGGGGCTTGGTATAGCAGGGGCTGCAGGCAGACGTGGACTTGGGTGGAGTGGACCCCCCAAATTATGGCATTGCGCCCCCCCCCCCCCCCCCCCCCCCCCCCCCCCCCCCCCCCCCCCCCCCCCCCCCCACACACACACACACACACACACACACGACGACAGCCCATTTACTGTAAAACTTACTTTCAAAGTTTGAGACGATGCCAAACAGCCCAAACAAGTGAGCGTGACTGAGTGGAACGGTTTGAAATTGGAGGAGGTGTCATCGGCGCGTCTCCTCTTGGTGAACCGCGGCGCGCACAATCGTTGGAGCAGTGGTGCGCGGAGGCATCCGAAGGCGGCTCTGAAGGGGTGGGTGCTTGGGTGTGTGTTGTGTAATCCGGCCCGCCTGGTGAGCCTCACTCTCCCCGCCGTGTGTGTTTTCCAGCCCTTGGTGCGCCGCCTGCCCTGTGCCACCGTGGCCGGCGCCCGCGGTCAGCACGCCCAGCCCGTGGCCCAGCGGAGCGAGGGGCCGCAGTGGACCGGACGGGAGAGCCTGGCCGCCGACGACCCCGAGATGTGGGACCTGGTGCAGAAGGAGAAGGACCGGCAGCTGCGCGGCCTGGAGCTCATCGCCTCGGAGGTAACGAGTCGCTTTCCCGGGTACCCGTCGGGCAGATGGGTACGGTACTGGCATGGCATGGCGCCACCTGCTGGAAAGCTAGGTGCAGTGCTGCATGAGGGAATGCACGGGTGAGCCGCCAATTTCAAGCCCTTTTTCGGTTAATTTCTTCCGTCAAACAGTCTTAGTTTAGCATCGAGATTCAATAGTGGAGGAATGGTGATGCTTCCAGCTGGCCGCAGCAGTTCAAGACAATACCAGCATAAAAATACTTGCCACGTGCTCCAGTATTTTTTTTTTTGCCATTGCCAATAGGTTTGCTTAAAATATGGCATAATTGTGTGATTCCCTGCCGAAGAAGACCTCACACCTTTGTGCTGTTCCTTTGGCAATGGGGTGCATCAGTAAAGGGCATTAGCCGCTGCGCTTGATTGAGTGAATTTCCCCCTTTTATGTGGTCGTGGAGTTGACGTATTGTGATGGACAGCATACGGCAGAAGCCGTTTCCTGTGTTGTTGCCCCCGAGATGCAGGCCCCGCTAATTGCCTCGTTTCCCTGAGATCTTGCGGCGTGAGATTAGCATATTCCTGAAGGGCAGAAGCACGCAGGAGCTGCTGGCTTGTCTCGGCGCGCGCTAGCTGCGTCTTGGGGAGAGTGGGGGGCCGTTCACACAGCGGGTGGGCGGGTGAAGGGGCAGGGCTGCCCGCTGGTTCCCTGACAGCCTCCAGACTGGTGTCCTGCTGACCAACCCTGCCGGCCCCGTCCCCAGCTTTCCTGCAAGGAGTGTGCACTCCGGCTTTCATACAGACGCAGCCATGCAGTCCCCAGGTAAAAGGCCTCATAAGGAAAACTTTAAAGTGAAAGCAAATGCAGTGTGAGCAGAGCTCTGCAATGTATACACCATGCTGCAGAGAGTGTGAGAAACCCAGACCAGGCCAGGAATAATGAAATTCCACGTGTCAGATCAAATCACACCCGACACCATCATGTAATGATGTCAGATCGCACGGGTTTGCGCTGCGCCCCGTCTTTTATCTTCTGGTTGATTTGCCTCCTCAGATCTTCTTTTAAATCCCGCTTATCTTTTCATACAGATCATTTTAATGTGCTCATCCGCAATCCTTAGCAGAGCCTGGAAGCCACGTTCTCCAAAATATGCGCGCCCGCGTTCTTCAAACCGCTTTAATGTTCTTTTCCAAAAGCAGAAAATCTCATGCTGAAGATTTGCCACGTCGCCAAAATGCTTAAGAGCATGGCACCTCTGAAGTGTTTCTATCTGGTTTTCCATCTCTGGGAGTGTATTAATAAAGTGCTGTTGCATTTTTGTTATCGGGGCTTTTGTGCTGTTACAGGTTCTCCACTGTTAAAAACTGAAAAAATTGTGTTTCTTGAAATAAGTTCTAGTGGGGAAAAAAATATTTTTTATTAAATATTTTTATAGTTCTCGAAGTTCAAAGAAATCCTTCCATTCTTTCTTTTTTAAACTTTTAAAGTATGAAGGGATTTACAGGTAAATCATGTGTGAAATAAAGTAATTTACTGCGTTCATTTTACAGTTAAATTAAGTTTTTTATGTAATTAATTATTTGCATTGTCCCAGCATAGGGAGGTTACATAGGGAAGCCCAGTCGGCTTGCATAGTCCATCTCGTCCTTGCATAGTGTGGTTGCCCGAGGAGTAGATGCCTCACCGGTCACTCTCTGCTGAATAGCAGCCTTGTATTGTGTGCAGGGCCGTCCATTGACCCCCCTCCCGCCCCCTTTGGCCGGGCTGCGGGCAATCTCGCAGACGCCTGGCCAGGACCCTCTCCATCAAGTGCTGCTGATGGGCCTGGCAGTTTAATGAATGGGTCAGCGCTGACCCTGACCCTGAGACGGGCTGACTTGAATGTATTACCGCTAAGAGCGGTGATCGTTTAAAAAAAAAAAAAGTTATCTTTGTTTTGTTTTTTTTCTGATCTTACTTTACCCCACCACCAGTTCTCCCGCCCTTGAGCCAATGATGAACGATTCTAAAACCTCCTTCTTTTTTTTCCCCCTTCCCTTTGTCAGAACTTCTGCAGCAGGGCTGCCCTGGAGGCCATGGGCTCTTGTCTCAACAATAAGTATTCAGAGGGATATCCGGGGAAGAGGTGAGCCCGCCTAGCGTGCATGCTGCTGCACAGCAGGGCCCCCTGGGATATACGTGGTGGCGTCACCACTGTAACAGGTCTGCGGTGCTGCTCCTGGAAGGCTGGTGTGTCTGTGGCATATGTAGGCTTCTTCAAAGCACCAGCACCTTAGAAAGGTTTCTTAAATTGGTTCGAGTAGGTAGCTGTATCAGCTTGCTTAGGCTGCAAAGGAACAGGTAAAGGTTTATTCCATGCGGAAAAGAAACGAAACGTTTTGGTTCCACCCGAAGAAGGCTCCACAGCCAAAACTTTGTGTTTCTTTTCTTCTCTTTTTTTTCTGGCGCAGAATAAACCTTTACTTGTTTCATAAATTGGCCAGGTTAAGCTAGTAGTGAGCTGGTGTAGATGAATAGCCGTGCTGGGTGAACGTGCATTAACACTCAGATCAAAAACCCCGACAGGCCTGGCGTGACTGAATGCCTGCTCCATGGTGCCTCCTTCACCCTGGATCGCTGCCTTGCACTGTGCAGCACGTCCCCAGGCCTGCACACCAGTATGCAGTCGCACCTGTTTCGGCCCTGTGCTGCCAGGCCTGCCACGCGGGGGACTGAGGTGCATGGGCACTTTGAGAACCGCCTCTGTGCAAATCTTTATTTTTGGCTGCTGATCTTGTCCTTCTCCCTTCGCTGCGTCTCAGAGTCATAGATCAGCCTGCAACACACAGCTAGCCCGGGAGAGAGAGACTGTGTTGCAGTGTGGGTGATCATTGGCATATAAATGAAACGACGCAGAAAGACCTGGTGGTCCTGCCAACCATCTGTTGTTGATAAACTTTTAAAAACCAAGCCTGTCTAGGCCTTCGCCTCTCTCCCATGCTGTGCCTCTCTGCCACAGTACACAGCCCTCCTCTTCCCAGTAGAGAAATAGAAAACATTGTCAACACAGATTCCCTTGCAGATTAATACCACACAAGCAGGTCTGGCCTGCTTGTCTGTGTGGCAGAGACAGGGGTCTGATCGTTTGATTATAATTTTTTTTTTGCTTGCATGTCATCGGGGTTAAGCCAAGAACAAATAAATAAAATAAAAGGGAATTAAGAATATTATCAAATTTAGCTAAATCCTCTTGTTTGACAGACCCCATTAAAGAGAGGATTGGATTTATAAAGCAGGCGACTTGAACTGCTTTAATTCCTCTTAAATGCTCATTTTGGGAGAATCCTTTTTTCAATAAATTCAGCCCCGGCACAATGGCGTGCCTGCAGGTGGAGGAGAAGGAAAGCCTCCGAGTGCAGAAATGTAATAACACGCAAATCGGCTTAGAGCTTCAGTCTTGCTTCAGGAGTGGCAGCAATGCCAGGATTTAACTGACACACTGAAAGCCCTCTGATTTATTTTCCCTTCTGCTCCTCCTGAACCCCCAGCAACTTACCTGCAAGCCTTTTGTTTGGCTCAGCCTGATAAATGTAATCCTCTGAGCCTTTTTAATTTGCGACCTGTGGGCCCTCTCTTTACATATGCATGCTGGTGTGGCCCTCTCCCTTTTTCCTAAACATGTTAGAACAGTCCAGGAAGGAAACAGAAACGCATCCCGGAAGTCTCAGCCTTTATTTCTCCTTTTTAGTTTCTTCTTACAGCTTTTCTCATTTTTTAATCTCCTAATTTCCCTTCTAGAAGGGTTGTGAGGAGCTGTTGCTCAGAACATGTTTTCGTTAAATGCTAAGTGGCAGGACACCATGAAGTTTGTGCTTTTAAGAGAATGTGTCTGTTTTTCACAACTGAGATTTTTACCGTTTAAGGTGTTTTGTAACTGATCTGTGCTGGTTTCCCCACCTCCTGCCCTAGATGTTCCCTCCCTCTCTTTGCCCCACCCCCACAGACCCCTCCCCTTATCCCCAAACCCCTCCCACGTGCCCCGCCCTCTTTTTTGCATCTCACGCCTTTTTTTTGCCCTGGCCAGGTACTACGGTGGCGCGGAAGTGGTCGACCAGATTGAGCTGCTCTGCCAGAAGAGAGCCCTGGAGGCCTTTGACCTGGACCCCAAATGCTGGGGGGTCAACGTGCAGCCCTACTCCGGCTCCCCTGCCAATTTCGCCGTGTACACGGCCGTCCTGCAGCCTCACGACCGCATCATGGGGCTCGACCTGCCCGACGGTGGCCAGTTAGTATCCCCTGCTGTCGTTGTCCCTTGGGAGTACGCAGGGCCGTCTCAAGGGGGGGCGAAGGGGGCGGCCTCCCAGGGCCCCCGCGCCAGCCAGACACCCCCAATCCCCAATCCCGCTTCACACGCACATAAAAATACATATTTTAATAAAGCTCCACACAAAACTATTTTAACTCGAGGTGAAATCTAAAGTAAGTGGGAGAGCAGATGCTTTATTCAGAACTGGAGGCCTGTCCTACACTAACTACACTACATCATAGGCCCTGGGCTGCCAGCTAAAAGTTATTGCAGCACAACTCAACTAGCTTGGGAAAAAAGTGAGCCGGTGAGAAAATGGCGATCACAAGCAGAGACAGGGCCAGATTTAGAAAATACTACAGCGGGTGCGAGAAAAGAAAAAGGAAGCAGAAGAGGGAGGATGCAAGCAAATGTGGCCCTTAAAGGGTCTTTGGAAAGGTTCGTTGTAAAAACCGGGAGCAAAGAAGAAACGGACACAGGCAGTGATCTCGACGAAGACAAGGACGCATTGAGACACCTGATGGTAGCGATAGCATTAGCAACAATGGCGATTAGTAGTTCTGCTCGGTTCTGTATGTCTGTTTGACCGGGCTAGTTAGGCAGCTATTTCATCACCTCAGCGCTGCTCCCTGCCGCCAACACTACACACAAGAACCTGCCCACCCCTTGAGACAGCCCTGGGTGTGCCAAATACAGAATTATTTCCATAACTGAACTATTTCAATTCAAAGCAGGCTAGATTTCTTCATCCCTCAGGTAGATGATTTGTTTGTCTGAAAAGATGAGGTTCAAATGGCAGTTAGAGGGGTTTAGTGTGGGGCGAAGCAGGGATTCAGAGTTTAGATGGGGGTGTCGGTAAGGGTGGGAGTTCAGATGTCAGCTGGGGTTCA